TCACGAAATTCACAAAGTTGTTTTTTCTCACCCCAAGTCAAAATTTTTCTTTTTTTGTTTGATTGATCAATTGATGACATTTTTTATTTTTTTATTAATTTTTTGAGGAAACAATTTTTATAAAAAATAAAGGACATTTCTAATCCTTTATTTATAAGAAATTCAGCAAATAATTGAATTAGCAAAATCAAATAAACCATTTGATCGAAAGAACTGTTTTTATTAATTAATCATCTGATGTTTTTTTACAAATAAAAAAATACATTTCTTTTACTAAATTACATTACAATTGGTTTTTCAACTTAATTATTTGAATCATCAGTTTTTTTCAATATAATTTATCATAATTAATTTATTGCTTATCATTCGATGTTTTCTTTATAACTTACCATTTTATTCAAATCATCAGTTTTTGTCAATATAATTTATCATAATTAATTTTTATAACTTACCATTTTATTCAATATACAATTAATTAATTAATTATTTTTTTAATCAAATGATTATATTTATTATCTTATTTATTTCAATAGAATTTTTAATCGAATGATTTTTTAATTTAATTGACAGAAAATTAATATTATTATAATAATTATGATAAATCAAGTGATGATCAACATATTTTTTAAAAAACTTCATTATATCAAGCTCTATTTAAATATAATGGTACCAAGTAAAACTTCACTATATAGTTATATCAAGAGTTTATATTAAAAATCACTATATCGAGCTGAATTTATATATAATGAAATGGGAAATTTTCCATCTTCACTATATCATACGATTCACTATACAGTAGGTTCACTATATCGAGCGCCGACTGTAGAGCCAAACTGTGTGAGAGGTAAGTTCTGAGTTATATAAACAAAAAAAATAAATTGGAAAAAATTTAGTTATAATAAATGATGATAATTTGTATTACCTCAGATAAAAAAGAAAAAGAAAAATCTATGACCATACCTGGTATATCCAATTGGTTTGAATGGAGTTGGCCAATTGAAGGTGACAATGCAGGATATATTCAGGCACGTGCAATACCAAATATTGGAAGATGGTTATCATTTTCTCCAGCCCTAATACTGAAAAATGAAATCAACCAACCATCACCACAACTGTCTGAACCCACTAAACCAAAATCTCCATGGAAAATACCTATTCCACATGCATCAGGTAATTTTCATAAATCAGTTGAATATACCTGATTGATTTCTAAATTTATATCAAAATATTAGGAATTTGCCCCAAAAGATTATCATCAAGAGAGTTGAGTGAAGAGTTAGAAAATCGAGGAGTTGACTATGGGAAGCAAAATAAACGACAGAAATTGATAGAAGTGTTGGATGAAGAATT